TGCATGTTAAATGGTTTGCCCAGGGTCATGCAGAAGACCTCTGGCAGAGGCAGGAGGGAAGCCGGGGTCTCTGGGTTCCCAGGTTCCCGTCGCTCCCCCGAGCGAGCCTGGCTCCGGCACAGCCCCGTTCCCGTGCACCCTCCGCTCGGTGTTTGTTGTCTAACTGCCTCTCTTCTGTCCTCTTCCTGCTCCCCTGTCCTTGGGAAGCCATGCCGCGCTGTTTTCACCACTTTGCCAGCCTGAGGCGGTTAACGCACCGCAAACAGGTAAATTAACCTCTGTCCCTCTCTTCGTGCTACCCGTTTCTCTGTTGTTTCTTCCCGGGCTCTAACTTTCCTCTCCCTGTGCAACCTGCACGGTGGCGGCTCCACGCCAAGGCTCTGCAGAGAAGACTTCTCCTTTGGCTGTGCAGACAGGGACCGCCAGGAACAGGGCACAAGATTAAAACACAGGGCCTGAGTCTACTCTTTTTTTTTTTTTTTTTTTTTTTGCCTTTTTTTCCTCCTTACTTACCTTGCTGGAAACCAGGAAAGACACCTTCAAAAACTGGTCTAGATAAATCAGTGCCAAACCTGCAGACAGTGATGCAGCTTGTGCCCACAGCAACCAAAACCTGGATCAGGAGCAGTAGGCATTGACTAGGTACATTTTGGAGCCCCCCCCCATCCCTTGGGAGTGTCAGTCTAAGGCAAGATCAGATCGGGTTTTGGTCTTGGAGGGGTTTGTCTATGCAGGAAAAGGGAAAATCCTGTCCTAACATGGTTTGTCCTTAGATATATTTAAAATTCCTTATCTCCAGGCACAAGCAAGGGATGCTTTGGGACAGGTGGGTGGTAGCTCCTGCTCCTGCAAGCTCAGCAGCTGCTAACAGCTTAAACCACCACCAATTCCAGCTTACCTTGTTTAATAACCGTGCCCATGAAAACACAGGACCTACAGGCAGCTGATGTGCCCTGCGTTCAGGTGGAGACCTGAGGGAAAGGCAGGATGGGCAGGAAGGTGGCAGGTCAACAACCACCATCCCAAAGCTTCCACTCTAGCAATTCAGAGTCTGTAGCTGTGTAGACAGGATTTGGAAATTTCCTTTTCCCTAGGACACCCCTATCCCACCTGGCCGAGGCAAACAGCGGTTGTGACCGAGACCGTGTTTGTTCTGCTCTGAAAGCACATCCTGGTTATTGGAGGCCACGTGTCGCTTAGCCACAAAATGACCGTGTTGTCTGCGTGGCTGGGATGCACCTCGAGGACTAGTGCAGCATCCCCAGCCCTGCTCTGCAACCGGCACTGCTCAAGAGCCCGGGGCCTGGGATGCAGAGGCTAGGGAGGTCTGAGCCAGCTGTAGCAGTGATTTAACCAGACCGCCGGCTTCGTTTCAGCTTGTTTGAGAGCGGCATTAACTGGGGCCGGGTGATCGCGCTGCTGAGCTTCGGCTACCGCATGGCCATCCACGTCTACCAGCACGGCGTGCCGGGTTTCTTCTGCCGGATCACCCGCTATGTCATGGAGTTCATGCTCCGGAACCACATCGCCCAGTGGATCGCCCAGCAGGGAGGATGGGTGAGCCAGCGGGAGCGCGGGGTTGTCCCAGGGGGATTTGGGGGTGAGGGGAGGCAGCTGTGATCCAGCCAGTGAAAGGTGCAGCCTGGGGACTATGGCACTGCTGAGGTTGGTGGGGTCACCCAGGTGCAGGCAGAGCAGCAGCCTGGCCCAGGCAGATCTAACGTGCTCTGGTTATTCTCTGTTTCCCGTCAGGTGGCTGTACTCGATCTGGACAATGTTTACATGAAGTACATGCTGGTGGTGGTGGCCCTGGTCATGGTGGGGCATTTAGTGGTACGACGCTTCTTCAGGCCCTGACTGACATGGCGGCAGAGGCTGGGGGGTCCAGCTAAGCTCTCTCTCAAATCTCTGCTCTACATTGACGTCTCCCAAGAGAGGGGGGATTCAAGAAACCTCAGAGAGAGAGAGAGAGAAGCTTG